GGGAAAAGAAGTGTTATAAATGAACAGATTCATTACAATAGTGTGATAATATATATACAAGAAGATTCATTGAGGGGATAAGAGAGAGGGAAACTTAACACACAAGAAGAGTAAATGTTACCTGGCCTTTTCTGGCAGAGAATCAGGTTGACCTGGGATCACTCACAACTCAGTGTATATCTCCTTCGGTGTCTTTCTACATCACCATTTGAAAGATGGAATTGTAAAATGGTAAGACAGAAGTTTCAGAAAACTTGCCAACTAAGGGCAAGGAGTGAAAATTTTACCTACGGATCTTCACTTTAGTCTTTTCCTTGATATATTTTTATGCTTATGGGAATAATTTTTGAATTTATTACAAAGATTGAGGTAAGTGTTTGGGGGACATTTAAATTTAGAGTTGTAATATTGCTGGTGCAAGTGAAATGTAGAGGAAAATCAAGGAATGGGTCTTAAGTTTTCATATTTAGGTTAATCAGAAGAAAATATAGATATTTGGTATTTACTTTTTCAAAATAATTATTTTACTTAACTTTTATTTATCCATTTACTTATTTATTTTTACTTAACGGTATTTATTTATTTATTTGTTTAAATTTTACCAGAGAGGGACAGCGAGAGAGAGAGAGAGAGAGAGAGAGAGAGGGAAAGTGAGAGAGCTAGCCGTCAGGTCCAAGTCTTGAACCGTGGTTGGCCATGTGGGAGTCTAGTGCCCTTAGCCACCACTCCACTTGCTGGCCCTATTTATTTAATTTTTAATTTGGCCAGAGAGGGGCACAGTAAGAGAAAAAGGGAGAGAGAGAAAGTGAGAAACAAGCTGCCAGGTCTTGGACTCTAATCGTGATTGGCCATGTGGGAGTCCAGTGCCCTAACCACCATACCACCTGCCGGTATTTACTTTAATAGAACTTTGTGTTGCTGTACTATACAGCATCCCAGTAAGGGAAGTTTATGATAGTTTCATATTTAGTACTACTGTAAGTCTAGAATGTCATTTGAATAACT